GGTTAACGAATGCTCCAGCTACTTTTCAAAGACTGATGCAAACAGTATTACAGGATATAGCGCCCACAAATGTTTGATTTGCCTTGATCATATTATTGTAAACGGTAGCACACCCAAACAACACAGTGCTAACCTGAAAGCTGTTCTGCAGCGTCTTAGACAAAATAAACTAAAAGTGAAACCATCCAAATGCCGTCTGCAGCAGAAGGAAGTAGTATTCTTAGGAAATCGTATCACCGCAGATGGCGTGGGTACAGAAAATGAAAAGACGAGTGCCATTGTTACTTGGCCGCAAACAAAAACGTTTGAAGAAGTTCGCAATTTCCTGGGTCTCGCGTCCTATTACAGACGTTTTGTTCGTGACTTTGGCAGCACCTTTGCACAGATTGACACATAAGGAACGAAAATTCCTATGGACCACCGAGTGTCAACAGGCATTTGATAAGTTGAAGGCACGGCTGACCTCGCCACCCATATTAGCCTTTCCCGACACCTCAGCAGACGGAGGTGAGTTCATACTCGATACGGACGCTGGTGCCTCGGCTATTGGTGCAGTTCTATCACAAGTAGCTCGAGATTGCCAGGAGAGAGTCATTGCGTACGCCAGCCGACGACTAGACAAGAGCGAAGCACCGTATTCCACAACACGTTGAGAAATGCTAGCGTTAGTAAAATTCTTACGGCACTTCCGTCATTATCTACTTGGTAGAACTTTTTGTGTGCTCACGGATCACCGTGCGTTACAATGGCTTCGTTCTTTTAGCGAACCAGAAGGACAAGTAGCACGCTGGCAGGAACGGCTGCAAGAATTTGACTTCACATGCGAGTACCGATCGGAGAATAGGCATGCCAATGCAGACGCTCTCTCTCGCCTGCCTCTGTCCACGAATACCGTTGTTGCAATTCTGAGTACGGCAATAGAGACCAACTGGTCCTCGCTACAAGCAGCAGATCCAGACTTACAGATTGTTTATCAAAGACAATTACATGGGAACAATAAGCCGCTCATGAAGGAGTTAAGAGACAGATCTCTCGCTACGCGTCGTATTTGCAACAAATGGAGCAACTTAAAATTATATGGTAACACGCTATTCCTAGTTATTGAGTCCAGACAACCTCTGCTTATAGTGCCGTAAGTAAGGACCTAGGGTATTGTGGAGCAAGTTCATCGCGAACTCGGGCACGCAGGAGATCGAAGAACTGAATATGCTGTTCGCCAGCGCTTTTGGTGGTCATCTATTCACGAAGATGAAACTGACTTCTGCAAAAACTGTAACACCTGTTGCCGCATAAAATCGCCCAAGCAAAAGCCACGTGCGCCGTTAATGTAGATGGGAACGAATGGACCGCACCAGCGAGTTGGTATCGATATTATGGAGCCATTGACGACGAAAAAAGGAAATCGCTACATATTAGTTATGATAGATTATTTTACTAGATGGTGCAAAGCAGTATACATTCCTCAGCAAGACGCCCTAACTGTCGCACGCGCTTTCATTGACCATTGGGTTTCCCGCTGTGGTGCCCCACTCTCACTCCACTCCGACCAAGGCCCCGCCTTTGAAAGTCATCTCATTGCCGAAATATGCAAGTTATTCGGAATAAGGAAGACGCATACTACTGCATATCATCCTGAAGCTAACGGTCTGGTCGAAAGGACAAATAGAACCACTAAAGGTATTCTACAATCGTTCATCAGCATATCGTCATTCGAGTTGTGGGATGAGGTGCTTCCTCGATGTATGCTCGCTTATCGAACATCAGTACATGGGTCTACGGGATTCTCAACTATTATTTTACCTTTCGGACATGAACCACGCCTCCCGGTAGAGATACAGTCGCCTTTGCTACCGTACGAAGAACAAGAACACGTACCGTACATCTGTACTCTCCGTTACCACCTGGTTGATGCGTACCGCTTAGTCAATATCAACTCGCACAGGGCTACTAACCGTCAAAATATGTGTACGATCGTCAGGTGCAAGGACCCATGTATAAAGTTGGAGACCGTGGCTGGGGTTGCCGCCCCATGACATTAATAAGGAGTTGCAGTAAATTCCACCAGCCTCGGCACGGCCCCTTCGAAATCGTCTTCATCCGATCCTCCACGACGGTTGTGTTACGTAACCCGCAACGACCTCAGGACGACGTAATAACGGTGCGCTACAATCAAATAAAGCCAGATCGGACAATTGTTCCTGCTGATGCTCAGTTCACAGATCCGCCACCTGCTACTAGTTTTTATGAGATACCGGATGAAGGAGAAGCAGCATATCCTTGTCCGAGACCAGGCGCTGAGGACAGTGCCGCATTAACAGTGGGGGTGGTGTAACGGAGTTAGAATTATCATGGTGATGCTGCTAACCCGTTCTGTTTTCTTTCTATTTCAGGGCGACCAAACATAAAAGCTTTGGAAGCTGAAGAACAAGACGTTGGTACACTAGCCACCCTTCTTCTGTAACAACCCCGCGTAATTTTAATTTTAAAAATAAAAAGAGTGCCGTGACCGTACTCCGTGTTCCCTCTTGGTGTGAAGTGTCGAGCTAACCCTGTGTGTTGCAATTTTAGATCTGATCCACTGTTCTGTAACTTTTGATTACACGCTTTACACAGTAACCCCACTCGCAACTTGGCACGATCTCGATGTTCTGTCGATACCACGAGTTCGCCAGAAAATACATCTCGACTACAGCCATCAACTGCCTTCTGATATTTGTCCTACGGGGGATCTTATCGGTTAACTGGCACATAGTCTTCTTGTAATGGTGATCATACGCAATTGGGTAAGCTCCTAATTTTGGGTAAGCCTCCATAATAAACTTTGGAGAAATGGCACAAAACCCCCAAAATTTCCCCAGACCTGAAGAAAAATCCCTTTTAACCTTGGTGCAGGTCATTCGACTTCGAAAGTTTCCCCCGAATTGGTAGCTCGGGTAGTCAAATGCGACTCGACGCCACACTACAGATCAAGGACGTAACAGGCACAATATTTTTTAAATTCAAAGTTTGCAAAATACTAATATTCAGATTCGTCCCCGGTGGCCCAATATACCACAAGCTTTCGTTTAATGCATGATTCATTGGCTTACCTTCTTCTGTAGCAAAGCTGTTTTAATTTAAACACTACTTTTTATACTCCAGGATAAGAGCCATTCAGAAGTAGCCTAATGAGAAGGTAGTTGGTGATATTCAGAAGTGACCCGAAGGCAATTACTTTACACTGGCAATGGATCAACTTCCCAAGGATAAAGGCGGTATATGCATGGACGACTATTTTTGTATTTTATTCGGTAGTTCAAGACACTTTCTCCATCTTGTGTTCTCGCTTAAGTATTCAGTTGGTGGGTTAGGGCCTAGCACACCGTGTATCAGTAGTGGCTTTTCGATACCGTCCATCACGACACTAGACTTTCCTACCCTAATGCCTATTCAGGACATGATTGAATTTTTATAATTGTTTATACGTTGTAATCACGCTAGTCACCCATTTATCCATATCTCTTCCCACGCCAATCTGAATCGGTAATATGTCGAGTAGTGTTCCAGCTGGTTCATCTTCTCTCTTGTCAATCATTCAGATGACGGAACAGCTTTCGACTCACTTTATAAGATCGTTAGCTTCGCTTCAGATACACGCATTTCTAGCCTCAATGTTGAACCCGTTAGCCTATAGTGTCAAGGACTTAACCCAGATAGACAATTCCTCCCATGCATTTTATTGGTCTGACAGATCAAAGACGCAACATCACGAAAGGAAAAAATATCCAAATCATACTGATTTTCACATTCAACCATCGATTCTTGGAACATCAATTGACTCATGCAAGAGAAACTAAGCAGGTAGAAACTTAATTGAAAATGACTGACGCATACCGTAGGCCTTCTGTCCTCGATACACAAACCAAAATTTAAAAAACTGTTGTTTTATGAGGGCTTAGCAGCTTTCAATACATTGAGCTAGGCATCAGTTATGCCGGCTTACTAGGAACTGCCCAATAACAACCCCTTTTAGGAAGGGAAAGTAAACTAGACTTTATTGTCTATTCTTGTATCAATGTTCTGATTTTGAAAAGTATCGTATTAAACTGACTTTTTGAAGCTACATGAAAACAAGTTATTTGAGATCCATATCTTCTTACTATGGGGGGGGGTAGGCAAGGACGATGACAATGTACCACACTAAATATCAGCAAGGGGTTATCCCAAAGTAGTAGTTGAGTCAAAATATCAATGTTTCATGATATTAGTGGTTATTTGACTAGGAATGGTACTAGTTTATTAATAAAAGCTTAATGGACTAATGTTGCATTGTGACTTAAAAATACCTCATAATTTCAAAATATCATGCCTAAAGAAACTGAATTCTAACTTTGAATACAGATTATTTTTCGAAGCAGTTTATCTATAAAAAGTGATAGATTCTGCCTGCATATTTAGTCACATTTTCAATCCCTTACCGCCTATCCGTGAAGTAATTCGATTACTTCCTGTTTTTATCCAGTCCATAATGGTAGTTCTGGCAACAAATTAGCATTCTCTTAAATTCTATCAATATGTTTCTACATCGGATAAGCATGTTGACGTAAACTAAGAATTTTGTCAATCCTATTTTGCATACTAGTAGATTACGATACTTCGTTGACATCTCCAATTATCGGGGAAGCAAGACGAAGGTTTATTGACGCATAATACTAATCAGTGAACAGGTAGACATAAAATTGAAATCATGCCCATACAAAATAGTCTTTTATATTCAGTTCAGCTCGATATGTGCCTCTTCAGTTGCTTACTAGGCAATCATGTTTTTTTCTGACAGGCGTATTGAAGTGCTAAGTAGTAAATCATTTCATGTCGATCGCAAGTTTACGGCTTTCCGTTCAAACATGCAAAATAACAAGTCTATGCTTTAAAGACTAACCAACGCACGCTTGAATAAAAGCCTATAAATCAAAGAGTGATAATCATCATGCAAAACCAATCACCTAAGAACTTGTTCAGATCCCAAACTTGAAAAATTTCATATATTGATACGAAATAGTATGTTTATATTTGCTTACAGGTTATTTTATGGAACCGAAAACATTTCTGTTTGACCGCTTCACAATAGCAACAATTTTTGAAAACAGGATAAAATAAGAAAAACGAACTAACTTGATATAAACAAGAAAATCAGTGAAAAAAAAAACATACGAGCAACCTTCCCAAAAACATATACAGGGAGGTGGTCACATTTTTCGTTTTCTTACTACAATAATGACAAACTCTTTGTGAACATACCTCAAATAATACCAAAGATTCATAAATTTTGTTTTCACTTAAAATCGCAATTATACATAAAGAAATACTAACGCCTTCTTTCCAAAGAAAAGAAAAACATAAACAGCTCTGGGGAAAAAAAGCAGGGAGAGGATGTCACAAAAAAATACAAGAGAAAATAGGATTAACAAAATATGAAAGTGAAGTATACGTACTTGACTTGTCTTGTTTTTTAGGGTTTGTATTTTGAATAATAATTAATAATCACTAAATGTATGAATGTGAATGAACTATCAATGGGAAATCAGATAGAAGTGGTAGACAGTAAACACAATTATTTACATAGACTGGATCCAATGGACAGATAATATACAAACGTACACACACAAGGGACCAGTAAACTGAATTATTTAGAAAGGAAACATTAATGTGCATGTACGGGATGATAATGTAATTTTTAAGGCGCTTGAAAGAACTAAGAAACATGAAGATGTGAATAAGGTGAGAGGAAAAGAGAATGAAGATACTGATTGCATGAATGAGAGAATGAAAAAGAAAGTGAAATCAAATGCCTGTATGTAAATATTCTCATCTTTCTATCGAAGAAAAATGTTACAAACGTAGACTGACCCACTGATATTCAATAATGACAAAGTGTAAAAGTAAAGAGAACTAAGATAATGTGCTCGATGTAGCAAAAAACGGATAATAATGTGGACTGGATTTTCTCAACAAAAAGGAAAGAGAAGAAAAAGTACAGAAAAAAATGTAATGAATGTTAAAAATTATGAAATAGACGGAGAAACTTGAGAAATAGTCACATTAATTCCTAGATTACCATTTTCAGCAAATGAATGGGCAGTATTAGAATCGAACACTAAACAGTCAGACACAGCGATTGCAGACTGAACACCATCATGAATACTACGTGGACAAGCTTCCCAAGTTAATCGTCGACGATGCCCGTTTAATTCAAGTCTATTAGACGGAAATCAGAAACAATAAAGAAAAAACTTGAATTAATGAATATAACAACCCGAAATAGTACACATAAAATAAAAAGGAATGATTTCCTTAAAGAATAACATGAACTTCATGTAAAATCACATGAGATATAGGAAATCATTCATATACACAGAAATGAAGAAAAGTATACAAAAGGTCGAATCATCAATTGCTAGCGGGACATAGATAGGGTTAAAGCACGTTACGTGCAGGAACTGTGTTGGTGCACGCTGATTGGCTATTTCCTAACCAATCAGTACTAGTAGATACTTGCAGAAGTTCCTCGTGCAAAAATTATAAATATACTAACGTTTTCCTTGTTGCAATTCCTATTTCTGTCTACCCTTCTTATTTGATATACATTTTTGTTCCTGTTCAACCGTGTTCTGATTTGGGGACATGTTGAGTGAATTAGTGTCCAAGGATACTAAGCAATAGGAATAGCTAGGTCGTAATAAGAGATATAACATTTATAAAAGTTATTTTTAAATAATAATAATAGTCTCAATGACCTTCAATAGTTTAGTTTCGCGATACAGGATTCAAAGTCAAATTCACTAAGACTAAACAAATAGTCAATTATTTAATACACAAGCGAAGTAAATGTGAATAATGGAAAATTAAGCATATTTTAACCATGGTCCATGGCACGGGTACTTGGTCTCGGTTTTAACGTCATACACCTAAATGAAAATATACAAAAGCCATTTGGTTGAGAACACGAAAAGTGGACAAACGTGTTGTTGACAGAACTGAGGATCATAGATCATAAATCCCTTTTAACTGTTTTTGCAACCAAAAAACCTTGTATAAGTTTTTGCACTATGGACTGAGTAGTGACAACAGCATAAATAATACCAATAAGTGCTAGTATTCTATAGTTATTAAAGATGATTTTAGAAAATCTGCTGATAGTTGAAAATCTCTTATAAAGGAGAGATTAATGGATGAGTGGAACACTGAAGAACAGTTTAACTGGCCAGTAGCTCCACTCTAGTTTCTATGATTTGACTTTAAACTAGATGAAATCAGTCACTTAACTCTTGGCAAAGTTAGGAAGAATGTGAACTATTATTACCTTACAGATGCTGCCGAGAATTTAAGAAGTCTATCCTGAGAGTAAGTCAGTTTAAGAATAAAGAATGAAACTTGATAGTTGGGATCTCTTTACTTATATCGGATGCATCAAAGCCGATTATTGGTCCACTATTAAATTATTATATACATAAAGATCTTTTGACCAAAACTCATCAACATACATTGACAAAGGAAACGGTGGGTTGCGTGATTGTCCACTTTGCACGACTAGCATACTGAAGAGCTGTCTATTTTATGGTTGTGATACATGATGTTAAATAAGTTGCAGCTGATCAACCAAAGGTGTCTTTGGAGAATAGACTTACAATGAAGCAACCGAGTGAGGAATGTTGAAATCAAGCAATAAAATAGTAGATAACGAGATGAAGTCAGATGACGAAATTAGGAACTTGAGCCGACATAGTTAAGGCATACGTTACGCACATCAAGTGACTACCTATCTCGATGTACGATGACACGTAAAGCTTGATTTTAGAAAGAAACTAGATGTAGTTACGCTGATAAACGATATATAACTGCTTTCAGTGAAGTTGTTTTGATCCTCTTAAGGGGACATATCCATTAAATGTGATGTCTGTGAAATGACGGATATTGTCTTTCGAAGAAAAGAGATCTTTTAAGTTATATGCTCATGTTTCTCTAAGTGATTAATTTTTATGAGGACGTATACTTAAAGATAGTGTAAGTTTATTACTCATCAAATAAACCAATATTTTAGCCATAAACTAATAGTATGTTCAAATTTTATTTACACAGTTTGGCCTTATTCCTCATAAAAATTATTAAAAACAGAAGGATTAGGTTGAATTTTTAAAATCACATTCAACAATACAAAATGTTTCTACCTGTACACAAACTGATCTGCCTGTTTTCGAGTTCCGATGAGTTGGACAAGAGCGAAAAATATTTGATCTGGTACACGTTCTTGTTTTTCTAGAACCAGCATAAAACTATGTCCAAAACACGATTGCATCATAACCCAGTCTACAGCACCTGGAAGACTTATGTCAGTAGCCAAAAATACAATATCTTCACCTGAGATACAAAAACAAATGACATTACAATAATAATCTAAAAAAAAGTTAGATTTTACTTCTGGATTTTAAAAATACAACATTCATTATTGAACTATTGAAACGAAGACAGTAAGGAAACCCAATCATATAGACTATTATCGAGTGGAAACTGCTGTTATGTATGCCTGATGCTTAGTGCTGACTAAACTTTATTGATCGCAATATGACCACTCGTCTCAAAAACTTGACATTGCGACACTGATAACCACCCACTGTTTGTTGATTTTGCAAAAAATTTAGGAGTCCCGAAGTTCGGAGATAGCATTGTTGAAAATGCTGCTTATTTAAGGGAAACAACTTACTAGAAATTCATAACAGTACAGTGAACAGTACGATATTGCTTTGATATGTTGCATCTGTTTTTTCGGTTAGTCCTAGTATGAGGAAGTGTTTCGCTCAATACAGACCAATAGGAAAGCTTCATCACTACCACGACTATTAATATCGGTTATTTGTATCATGTTCGTCTCTAACCCATCAGCAATAAGCACTCACTGTCATAATGAGGTCAGGAAAGAACCACACTTAAGTTTTAAATGTGTAGATCAGAGATGGTACAGATAGACGGACCATGGTTTTTTGGTTAGTTGAGTCATTTATTAGGCAAGACCTTGAAGTATATGGTTATCTAACGGATTTGACTACATTTTATGATCAAAAGAATGCAAATATAATCAATTCATAGGACAAATAACTTGAAACACATAAGAAACCTTTAACATTCCTAGAAAGGTGATCATTTCCTAATATTTCACCTAAATATATACGAGATTAATGGGTACAATTATTCCTACGGTAGAAATAAAACTTATATATCTGCAAATAATACTAATAAATAGTCTGGTTAAAGGAAAAAAAATCCAGATACAAGTTACCTTGTAAAGTTGTAATGCTTTTATGATGATGCACGAGATGGGGCATAACTTGTTCCAATTCACCAAGCCACTTACATGAAGCACCAGGACATGGACAATCATAGGGCCTAAAATGATTATTTACCAAATAAACGCTTGTAATCAATATTTCACATAACTATGGAGAAAAACAGTACAAAAAGTTTTATTTACATGTTATAATCAGACAATGTTTAATATATATCAACACATGCTTGTCTACTAATCACTGACCAATTATTACCACGTTGAAAAAATGGAGCAAAAGTATCACAATTAGTTTTCAGGGAGGAAATAGATTAAATGGGTTTGAATTATTGATCTTAACGTTGAAAATTAGATGAAAGAAACACAAAGACATAAAATGAAAATTTCATGAATGTAAATAGATAGTGGAACTGAATAACTGTGGTATCTAGATAAGTTCAATGCTCTACTTGAAAAGAACAGATAACACTAAGTTAGATTAATACAAAACTATGAGGAAAATGTGAATCCCGAACCTGGAAAATACGATATCACATAATAAAAAAGTTGAATACTGCGAAAGTAGCGCACTTTGGTATGGTCAGGAAATCACGAACATTGAGTTTAGCCCACAGAGTGATTTACAATTCACCTCAAAAACTATTTAATAAGGCACAAATGGACAGGGAAATGTATAATGTTATAGGTTGACACACATTCCATCAACATATAAAGTAGAGTTTTAAAACACATTGGGGAATGAGAAAAACAAACGAAAATGTTCTATGCTAAGCAGTGTCAGTCATTTCCATGTGCATAAAATATACACCAAAATATACCTATTACGTTCATAGCTTGCCGTTAGACAAATTATTCTTTTAATGTTTCCACTATTAACAATAAATATTCCTGCGATATCTGAGAGTCGATGGGTCTAATTTTTGTATATACTCTCCAATCTACAATATAATTTAGTAGTATGACAGAATGAAGCAGACTACTATGCCGCATATTTGTTTCGCGGTAAATGTATCAATACTGCCTTCGTAGTGGTGCTAGTAAACAGTAATAAGAACTTTTGTATTCAACTGAAATTTTATTGAAAATAATCTAAGCAGAAAATATGGAAATAGATACATAGTGGGATAATATGCTACAAAACCGCAACAACAGACACATGTACCCTTTATGAACTCTTAAAATGCAGGTTAATGACACTAGGTAAGCAAATCAATCTCAATTAATGGGATGGAGTTTTCACTATTTAATGGATAGCTTGATTTTGAGGTCACGGAAATGATCAGTAGGCACAAACATCTTAACTACCACTGCTATTAACGGCACAGAACTCTTTTACGGAATCTGGCGAGTTTGAAACTTAACTTTAACCTTAAATATCTGGTTAGCAGTTTAAAATAGTATTATGAAAACCCCTTCGCCTATAGGAATTAAGTCGTTTACATACTTAAAGTTGCATACAAGATCTTTAGATGTTAGACAGATTGATGGTAAGTCAAAAGCAAATAAAACTGATTACAATAGCCTACTTCAGACAATTCCAACTTGATATAAAATTTCTCTTAAATGGGCCAAACAAATGATTTTAAATCCAAACTAGTATACGCTATTTTTGATGGCTATTTTTATTTTTTATTTTTATTTATTTATGGCTTTATTCATTATTATATTTTGGTACAATATAGAATTCTCAGCACAAAAATATTTCAACAAGTTTCTTTTACAGAACAAAAGAAAAAAAACGGTTAAAAAAAATCTGAAAAAGAAGAAAAAAAACTGTACAACTTTTCAATTAGAGTCATGTTAAGAATGCAGATTATTGACTAGGTTAACTCTAACAACCTGTTCGTCACACAGTACATTTGCTAGGTAAGGTACTATAGAACGTTTATACTTTTGCTTGCGTGCTTGGATTTTAATGTAATTTCGTCTCGTTCTACCAGAAGATATACAAGGAGAAAGATATGAGTGAAGGGGATGGTTAGTATCTGATAAAATAACATCTGCCAGGAGTTTGCATGACTTTAGATGTCTATCCACAATCATATTAATTATGGTCTCGAAAGATTCACCACATAACTTGCTAACTGCCTTCAGCGCTCTCCGCAGTACAGCAAAGTCTTATCTCAAAAGCCCGGGAAAGAATAACGGAGAACAGTACAGAATAATAGGTAATATGCAAGAATTGACAAATTGTAGGAGTAAATGACGAGTGATCCCAAAGGCATGCAACCTTTTAATGTAGTATGTCAGACGGAAAACCTTCTTCGATAACAATAAAACGTGAGAAGACCAAGAGAGATCAGAGGAAAAGGTAACACCAAGATAATTGACCGTCGACACTGTGTTTATCAAAGAGTCGCCAATGGCACAAGCATTATGAGATCTCAAAAAGGTGTTTAAATGCCGATCATGTCTCATGCTAAAGTTAACAGCTTGACATTTAGACGGATTAAGTAGGAGACCATTAACGACAGACCAGCTATCAATGCGAGATAAAAACTCGTTCATTTCTATAGGATGTAAAGAGGAAGAGATAGGCATACAAACAGTGAGATCGTCTGCATATTTCACGAAAGTGTTTACTGTGGAAGATGGCAGATCATGCAGAAAAAAAGAGAAAAGAAGAGGTGAAAGAACAGCTCCTTGTGGTACACCTTCATAAGACACTAGAGACTCTGAACACTTTCCTCCAAACACCGTGTACTGTTCCCTTCCAGAGAGGTAGGAACATAGCCAGTTGGTTATCCAGCTGTCAGTGTTGACGCTGATTAACTTGTTAAGTAAACGTTGCCTTGATATAGAATCAAAAGCAGAAGTATAGTCCAGGAAAGCGCATCGAACATACTTCTTACCCTTTTCTAGGTTGAACACTATATTATGATGCAGAACAGCAACAGCATCGAGGGTGCTTCTTTTGCATCTGTAAGCAAACTGATACTGGTCAATGTGCTCTTTCATCGCAGGCTGAAGTGAAAGTGTCAATAATTTTTCCATTGCTTTGAGGAAGGATGAAGTTATTGCAATGGGTCTGAATTTCACATTCTTATCACTAGATGATTTCTTGAGTATAGGGATTATTTTCATCTTTCTCCAAATTTTCGGTATGAGATTAGAAGAGAAGGATCTATTAAAGATAGTGGTGAATGGATAGCATTATTATTTTTATTTATTTTAACACATAAGTATAGGTATAGGGAGGCACCAAATACATATGCGCCACACAAATCTCAATTGATTTGTGTGAGGGCTGTGATACTGCCCGGGTGCCCAAACCGAAGCAGGTGGTTTTCTTAGGGGGCCAAACCCCGAGCCTTTGACCTGAAGATCTGATCCACAAGGCAGTGGAGCATCGTAAGGAGATGCAGTCCCATGGTAGCCGGTGACCAACGATTGGTTCATACGCCATTTGTTCCCGCAGGATACTGGAGCCCATGTGCACCATTGGTTTGGGGTCCGGTTAAAGCGCCAGACATTCGCATAGGACGTCAGCACACTTTTTGAAAAGGAGGTTTGGGATACCATCAGGTCCCAAACATCGGGATGAATTTAGTGACTGGAGACATTTTTGGACATCAGTTTCGGTGAAACTAGGAACACAGCTATTTTTTAAACCCGTGAATAAAGGGAGTATCACATCAGATGATTGACGTAAAAAAGACTTATTTCAGTCACAAACATCCAGCTGGTTATCGGTCCTAATCTGTCTGTCACCTGTAAGTTCTTTAAAGAGTTTCCACATACTTGAAGAGTTTTTACAGTACAGAGCATTACAATCGGTTATTTTAAACATAACTTTTGCCTGTACTCAGATAAAACTGAAAAAAGTTCCCATCATTCTATTAATTCTTTAGACAAAGACAAACAAACTTCATCGGCATGGAGCTATATCACACAAACACAAGATATAAATAACAAAAGAGATCGGAACAACGCAGTAGCAATTGTAAAAGGAAAAAATAAACTTTGGGAATATGGTTTTGAAATATGATGGAAAGGTGTGTATGAAGGAATACTGGAATTCAAGATGAAGAGTGGGTGCATCTCCACTACTATGAACGTCTTCAACCACTGATTACAGTTATCACGCAGAATCCCACTAGTTGGCCTTCGTCTATTTGCATGGCTTAGGCCAACAGTCGATGACTTCACTGAATAGCACTATTAGTTCGACCGAACCTGGCTTTTTTCCAACCTAGTTCTGCACTAGCAAGCACGGCTAGTTGGTGGTCAGGCATAAGTAATACACATGACAACCACTTAAATTTCAGTGTTTGGATATCATAATGAGCTCATAGTTATATATTTTCATGAAATATTGAAGAACCTGCAAAACAAAAATGAGTTAGTGAATATGACAGAAATTAAGATAACGGGAGAATTGAAACTAAGGATGGATCTTTAAAAGCGGCCAAGAAATAAAAAACTTACCTGTACTCGCAAGCTGCTTCATGTTCTGATTTGGATGTATAATGAAAAGTTTCGGGGCAACCACTAGTGGAGTACTTGCAAGGAAATAATACACTGGAAGCAAGTTTTTCCATTGCGAGGTTCCGGATATTATCTTCGAAAGAAAAGTGAGACGAGGTGGCTATTTAGAAGTCGAATCGAGGCAATATGCACATTAATTGGGAAAGCATTAGGACATTGAATCCACAGGAGGGACTCAAAATGATTAGTACGAAGCAGTATCATTGTCGTATACTAGCACAATCGTTGAAAATCGATCAAGAGACAGATTACAACAGAATTACAGACTAAAAATAACAGATCTAGACTTTCCATTAAATAGTTACTTTAGGAGCAGCTTCCGTAGTTGCTAATGTTGACTATGAGGGGTTGAGTTACACAGATGAACCATTTCGCACATCGTAAGTCTTATTGGGCCTGACTAAATATAGCCAGGGATAAGGTCCTACTTTCATTATGCAAATTATGCGAACTTATTTACTAACTACAGGGTAACGTACTCGAATTTGACTCGAAATATTTGTGATTAGTGATATTACCTGGTTGCCCAAATAAAATTAGGCCAAGGTGGACTTGAACCTGTAAAGTAATGGCTGAGAACTAAATGTTACAACTAATAGCCCCCAAATGCCCTGGTATGATCGAGAGTGGGGAGAGTTCACTCTCCCTGTCGAAATGCTCTCACATGGCCTCGAGTGTATAGCCACTGTCAGGGAAGTCGTACTCACTACCTTTTCGCAGGGCGGGTGTTGTTTACGAAATTGAGAGGATGATGTTCGGCGTTTTAACCGGGTTGGTGGACACGGAGGATCCACCTAGGGGAGTTAAAAAACCCGATTCCAAACCAGTGGTACACAAGGGTTCCATGATCCTAAGGGAACAAATGGCGTATGAACCTATTGTTGGTTATTGGCTGCATCTCCTGACGTTGTCTCATTGCCTTGTGAACTAGACCTCTAGGTCAAAGGCTCGTGGAGTTGCCTCCTAAGAAAACCACCTGCTTTAGTTTGGGCGCCCGAGAAATATTCCATCTATCACACAGATCGAATCATTCGTGTGACGCACATCTGTTTGGTGCCCCCTTGTAACAATGTTTGTGTTTAAATGAATAAATAAATACAACTATTAAGTCACTGTCCTATGTCCTACTTAAGATACAGAAGATGTACGAATGACTATAAAAGGAAAAGTATGTTGTGCACTATTTAGTTTTGCACTACGTTACGTATGTCAGACAACAAAAGTAAACGTGATGTTACAGGGACCAACGTTAGACACAGTTCAGAACATACGTGGTTCAGAAGACGAGCGTGTGAATCTCCACTGACTAAAGTGGTTGGTACACTTTGCTCCTGACCAGTCGACATTTACTTTATATGCCGTGACTGTCTAGTAACATTTGAACATAGAAAGGTGACCAGACAGTAAAACGGTTTCAGTTCATGAAATTATTAAATGATGGTTTAAGCAGTGTAGACAGCTTTAGGTAGTATTTGAAAAGTCACGAAATATATGCAAAAAATAGTCTGACCACATGATGGGTGATAACACACCGCAATGATTCGCATTGGTACAAACTTATATATACTTTTAGTCTTCTAGTATACAAACAATTTATTGACTAAATATTCATTTTCTGATACATTGTTTCCGATTACCATCAATGGCATTTTCGGCTTAATTTCCTTGATTTACCTTCAATTGACTGCCACTCTCGGAACAAATGTGAAGTGTCCACTCGAACTTACCTAGATATAACGAATTTTAAGTCTTGTTTTGCACCCACTGAGCGACCTATTACAGTGTGAAATAGGTACACTGTAAAAATCGTAATGTATCTAGTTAGCATAAAACGTTGACAGACCTTGTACAAACACTATTTTTGTCGTTATTAACGTAAGCAACCGATTCAAGAGAGCTAATACAACCATATAAATAAAAAAGCTGGTTTATAAGCGTAATCATTTAATGATCCTTATTAAAATAAACATCAGTACAGACTTTTCCTTAAATAATATCTGATTGAGGCTGGATGTGTGGGGAATATTGAACACTAACAAGCATTTCCTTGATGCGATGTGATCCTGCTTTATATTTACGTTATTGTGAGACAGGGCTAATATATTCGCGTACTATGAGCCAATCAAACGATTCCTGAACAAGACAACTCAAAAAGGTTGGAGTAAGGAATTAGTACCCTATCCATGCCAACGATGAAAAGTTGGACGGTACTACTTATGGAAACCTTCAATTAAAACCTTTCTCTAAAAAATAATATCTTATACGCTATTATTCCACATTGAGATCGAAAAAGGTTTGATAATAAGAATATTTGTTTCCTAAATAACGTCTTTAACAAGGTCTCTTTAAAAGAATTGTCGAACCAAGGGGATTAATAGCGTCGATAAAATAGATCTATGTAGAATAGAATTAACTCCATAGTCTTACTTCATAATGTTGCATGAGTAATAGATAGTAACCAGTAGAGAGTGATGTATACTTGGAAGCTTCTAACCACCTTTGGAGGAATTTTCGTGACAAAGAAACTAAAGCATTGATAAAGACACCAGAACTTCCAGAATGACCTTAGTTATTACTCGTGACATGCGACTGACTGATAACAGATAATAAGGAAACAAGTTATGACAGCTTAACGCGCTATTTCGGTACAAATGAACACTTTTACAGTGTCATTGAGACCGAGAATAAGTCAGTTAGTCACAACGACCAAGAATGAGTAAGGTAACTACTTACATTTGATATCGAAAGTGTAAAATATTGGAGCAATAAATGACAACATATACAATAACCATGTTTTCATGGCAGTGACAGAAATTTCACTATGCTGACACGAATGGGTCAACTTCAGTTTCTAAATTAATGACCTGGATGTTACTACGCATGGGAAAATTTATGCACCGTATAGTTAATAGAATATTAAAAGGCCCAAAACAGCATATATCACAGACTTTCTGTGCCACAAATCTTCAGCTGTGATAAAAGCCAAAAATCGAATAAATAATGGGTGGCAAATTAGTGCAAAACAAGACGTTTAGTGTCGGAAATATTATGGTCGGTGTATAGCACAACGTAGACGTATGTGAACCGCATTAGTAACACCAGTACTACTGGGAGCATTAAAATTTATACACAGAAATGTATCAGGCTTACCTAAGTTGCCTCTACAAGTTGGGCATGATGAGAGTTTTGACCGGCACGATGCACAAACAATGTGTCCACTCTGACATTGCATAATAGGTGGTAGAGCGTAATCCATACAAACAGGGCATTCGAAAAGACTAGCGAGGTCTATTGAACTGCTATCTGAAGTGTTATGTGGAAGAATATTACAAACAGTGTCCGATGCCGATGACATCGAACCTGGCAGAGACATCGAGCACGTACTGGCTGCGCCGGAGTTATTAACCAAAGGTGTTGTTGCTCCTACTTCTCTATGAGGCATGTTTATGTGAGGCATTAATTTTATTCCATGATGCAGAGCATGATTATGATTTATGGGTAACAATGCCATTGAACGTCCAACAGCATCCGATGATGCCATTTGACTTCTGTGACATGTCCGGTCCTCAGATAAAATTGTACTGTTTGAGTTAGTCGCACGGCTCGGGACGCTCATGTTTACCTCTGTAATTGAACTATTCATAAAACAAGGAACAGAAACCACAAGTACCGCGTTTTATGAGCGATTCGCGTTCACATATTTAAACAAATCAACAACAGTGACGAAATATTGTGCAGTTACTTCAGAACTGTGTGCAAACAATTATTATTTTGAAAAATATTCGGTTTGGTTCGTTTGCATATTGTATTTTAGTGTTTCCTACCGATTGAATATATTGGAAGTTTGAAAATTAAGAAACTGTTATGATGTAAAGAGTATTTATACAAGTTAGATGAATATGAATATGCTCCTTTGAGTATAGTAACACAGCTTTTAAAGGTGTATATTAGCCTAAATAATGAATTGTGATCCCGAGAGTTTTAACTGCCTATTGGTAGATTACAAATAACCAATAATAATTATCCTAGTTTTATTTACGTTAGCAACCCCAAATCATTTGCCGAACAAATAACTTCTATTTTCGTCCATGTTCAAAGCCCCAAACCTAAAACTGTACACGATTTTGTTTATCATTTTAAACATTAGTTCTTATGATCATGATCAAATGCATTCTACCCTGTTCTATAAAATCTCTTAATCACCAATGGAACAAATATCTAACATTTTGGAACACGTGTGTACTATTTTCACTGTAAATACTCCCGGTTGTCATTGCTTCCTTAAAATTTTTTTGAATGCGAAAGGAATTAAGCACAACTCTCTTAGTGCATATCTGACTTCTAAAAGGGAAATAATAATAAATGCAAAAACCGAAACTAGCAAAACAAATGAAATAATTTGCCGTGAAGTTCAAAATAAGCTTACTGTACCTCAGAATGTGATGGCTGAAAACTCTAAAATTATGTTATTACGAAATGGTCTTCTTCTGATTGATATTCCGTATATGTCTTTTGATTTAAGCAAACCAGAACAAAGTAAAGAATGTGATTGTACAACATTACAGGAATGCAAAAGTTCTATTCCAAATGAGCATAATATCGAACTGGATAATGGTGGAAAATTACAAACGCAACATCTTGATCGACATGAAACTATACGCGAAGGGAATAAACTCATTTTAATGATCCCCTTAGATAAAACTTACAAGGAAGAGAATATAAAGGTCACTGTTGTACAACGTTCAGTATGCATAACAATTACTAACCTTGATTATTCAATAGTGAAACATAACTCTAATAAATCTAATTCTAAACATCTTGTCCAAAGAACATATTATAAAGAATATGAAGCTTCTGACTGCATTCCTGATCCTGAATCAATTAATTTTTATATTGATAATAACCGTCTTATTGTTAATTTAAACATAACCAAAACGTCACAACTATCTTAGGTAACATGAAAAGTCCCCATATACAGAACATACATTTTATAAATAATAACAATGGGAAAGTGTTTGATTATTTTGAATTTTATTTCTTCAACATCGACTGTAATTTATTATACCGCTCTGTTACAGTAAGTAATACATCATTTCATGAACGTTGTATTATTCTATTATTATTCGAAAGAAAATACATAAATACTGTGAAAGTTTATAAATCGTTCAAACATATTTTTGTTTTATGCACAATATTAAAATCTTACACAGCTTTCAAATCTTAACTAACAACGTTGTTTTATGTGAAACTGACACAATTTGTTTAACAAACAAAGTACCAAGTATAAATTTTGTTTTGTTCACAAACATATGATAGTATTTATCATACCACAGAAACATCATATGGGTTGTGTCAATTAAGCGGTAGATTGCTTGCACTAATGTAAATTGTATGATAGAAGACGATTCCTTCAAAAAACCGAGTTACTAACAAAAGAAAGAGGATACCGACTAACTAAAAGAGTTTGTTTTATTCAAAAATATGATGTACACTTAGATACTATACATGGATATATTTTTAGATATATATGTAGAAAGAATGAATATAAATTTTCTTTGGATACAGATTTTGTATTTTATTCCATAACCAGATAAATATGAGACTTAAATTTCACTGTTATTACCATAAACAAGTATCATTGTAATTTTCTTTGGAAAACAAACATTCTTTACTAAACAGTGTTATTTTTCGTAGAGTTTAATATTTATTTAACCAAAACTGGTTGCTACCGTATTTTTAATTCAGCATGCGAAAGTTATTATCAGTTTAATTAGTCGATTCTTCGTAACTAATACTGAGTTTTTAGCCAAATGCATTTCTGACTATTACATGGTCTGGTCAGGCTTAAATTGGAAGACATTGATTGTTCCATTTTTAACTAATCAGCGTTGGTGGAGGAATCAAGAATCTAGAAATTCCTTATGTATATTCTATATAAACCTGTGGTGTTTGTATGAACTAGTGATTTCTTTATACTTGATGACTGTCTGATTTCGAATTCCAAATTTAATAGGTTTATTTGTGTTCACCTAATTCTTCTTGGTTTAAATTATGGTATTTCGAGAATTCCTAGTTCATACAATAATTCAAATGCTTCTAATTATCACAAAACCTTGATGTTTTTATTACAATGTCTTTATTTTTTGGGATTATTAGAATATACAATACCCGTTTCAATTTGTAGTTGGTTTGGGAAGAGTCAAGCGACACAGTTTTAAGAGAATATTAGTGATGAATGAACTCCAATAATCAATTCAGACCGTGAATAAGTGATTCGAAATGACAGTCCACGTTCATTCATGTTTGTTAGTTGAGGATAATTAACATGAAGTCTAAGATTTAGATTTTTTCAGATGGCCTTCTCTAGTAAAGCCTATCTACAAATTTAAGGTTACTGAGCTCGATATTGATTAAATCATGGAACTTTTCTCAAAAAATCATTAGCACAAACTTCAGGTAGAAATGGGGTATTTGAATCCTCTCAAATATATGGCAAAACAATGAAAGTTTAAAGACAAGACCATTGGTCTAAGAGAACGAAAGTCATCGACGAATAGAGAGGAGTGATTATCACGATAAAAAATAAAGCTAGTAAAGTAGCAAGAGTGGTAGTAAAAATGTTCAGGCACAGATAATATGATTTGAATATCGTCCATTAATGGAATAAAGTGTATAAGATAATTTGAAACTTGCGATCTAAAAGAAGACAAAGAGTGGATATATCTCAGCTATTGGGACTGATTCTTAATAATCTCAACCAAGTCTCTGAACGATGGTTACAATAATCGAGTCAACCCTAACCAGATAGTCTTAATGTATCAACACTGTTCAATCTAACAATCAATGTCTTCGTAGGATAGAAAACTATCGCGAATCACGTGTTCAATGAGTGCTACACTTATGAGTAAACCTATAATGATAATCACCTCCCACTAATTCCCATGCTATTAACAAAAATATGAGTTTCAAAGCCGCTTTTCCATATTTGTAAATGTACAAAACTTTAATAAGTATGGCAAACGTACAAAATTAGTACTGTTATTGATAATAAATTTAAAGTAACATCAGTCAAATTTCATATGACTTCAAGAAGAAAAAATAAGTGTTCACAAGAAGTTTCGAAATATTCGTAGCTCACGATGAGGATATTGGAGATATTATAGTACTGAGCCGTATGAACTGGTTGTGAAGCTGTCATTGTTCTTTAGAACAACATCATTAGTATATACTTTAATGAGAAGTGAACTACTAGAATTTCTACAAAATTGACTAACAGTTTGTACTATTGACCTGAAATTTAGTTGGTTGTTATCCATTACTGTATGTTCCTTGCTTGTAAGTTTATTTTATTTTTTAAACTAAACTCTGACCTTGCAGTCGTTAATCCTTTTTCTTCTCTTTGAGGTACACGCTGATGTTTTTTAGAAGAATAATGTAAATTTTATAACTAATTTACTCAGCTCTATTCCTATATATCATAAATGTATAATCGTTTCATAAAATGTATAGGTGAGACTATAATTTATGAACGAACGAATCAGATATATGACAACAAGTCTCGAAATTTGGCGCAAAATTCACTCATTGATTTGGCTAAGTAGTGTTTTGACACCATAGCTGATATCTGTTCGTGATAAAAACTCGAAATCTAATTCCTAAACCTTAACCATTAACTATAAATCCTTATTCTAATTCCTTACACTGGTTTATAACTCTCATATAGTCCTGGTTATTAGGTGGACGTTTTCAAGGTCACTTTAGCATCTCTCAAAGGTCGTCCAAAAAATATAGTCTCACTAATGTATACTTTTAAAATAATTTTTATATAATCATTTATAGTTTTTACTAATTTTTAAATGTCATACATGTCATCCCAAAAAAATAAAGAAACGAAAGATTTATGAGGATAATTTGTATTGAATACTATCAACTATTCAACATTCTTCAGACATAATAAATTGCTCGATGGATTGAATGAAATTTATCATTGAACAATTGTTTTACTTATTTATAGATGAACTTGATACATAAATTGAATATGTCAAAACCATACAATATATTTGAAGAACAATTGATAATTTAATAATAATAATCCCTCCTTTGATATTTTTTTGTTTAAATTGATAAATACAATTTTCCAGTACATATTCTTGATCTCTCTCTATATATATATATGACATAATTTAATATGAGTTTGATTCAAAATAATTAACAAGTGAATTAATTATTTCAATAGTTGAAATCATGAATCGATTGAAACTAGACCACCATGGAAAACCCGGATGCACTGGACGGCCGTTTCGTCCTAGTATGGGACTCCTCAGCAGTGAGCATTCACGATCCCGCCTAGTGAGATTAGAACCCAGGACATATCAGTCTGGCGTGCGAACGCTTAACCTCTAAACCACTGAGCCGGCATCCAACGGTGTTAACGTCTCGCGAGGCGGGATCGTGGATGCGCACTGCTTAGGAGTCCCATACTAGGACGAAACGGCCGTCCAGTGCATCCGGGTTTTCCATGGTGGTCTAGTTTCAATCGATTCATGATTTCAACTATTTAAATTACTATAATCTCCACAAAACCCCTTCTAAGAATTAATTATTATTAAATTTAATTATATGTCTTGCAAATATCTACTTATCGACATCTACCTAAAGTTTTTGCTGATAATGTCATTTAGAAGAACGATGAAAGCTCTACAACTAAACTATCCAACTTAGAGAAAAAAACCATCAAAAATTTATCAATATGTTTATTTAATGAGTAAATAGAATAACATTGATATAAAATTGCATTATATGTTGAATACTCTAATTAGGTTTAAGAGTTTACTTCCATTTTTATAAATTTTATCTCTTAAGTATAAATGAATGGTCATTAAAACGAATCGTATAAACTTTGAGTGTTCATACTCAAGACCTAAGGTCCTAAGTTTGATTTCAGGTTAGAGGTTAGTAAGTATGCATA